AAGAGCGTCCACTGGTTGTACACAATTGGATTAGAACGCTACAAAATTTTAAATTTTTGACAACACTTATGGGCAATCTTGGATTTTCACATTTTATTGGTCGTAATTTTAACCAAAATGCCTTAGAAAATTTTTTCGGTCAGATTAGACAGCATGGTACGTGAAATACTAATCCAACGTGTACTGCCTTTCACGGATATTATAGGACATTACTCTTAAATTCATATTCGCAGTTGGTAAGTGGGGATACTAACTGCGGATCTGAAGAATCCGCAAACTTTTTAATTAGTCTTAAAAAGTATTTGTCACCTGCTCCAGCTGCATCGATGATCGACAATTCTATCATTTTTCTAAATTACAATGTTTCGGCAGCTGCTGAATCCACTGTATTAACAGTGGTTCAGTATGTTTCACGGAGTGTTCTGAAGAACATCACCTGTAAATTTTGTTTGGCTTTAGTATTTGAAAGCAATGTTTATCAAGGTTCATCGATGCATGCTGTGTGTAGATCATTAATAACCCAGGTAGTATCTATTTGTCTCGCTAATATGCTACAGACAGCGCACGCTCCAAATCTTATTGCGACTCTACAATTATGCATTTCGGAGCATATGAATTTTAAATTAACATGCTCCGAACATGGCAATTCTTTGACAACATATATGATATATCAATGTATCATATATGTTGTCAGGAATTATATAGGAAGAGTAAATCGTGTTATAAGTAGGAAGTAAGTAATGTAATATTACTGTAATGTGTGCAATGTATGGAATGTATGTAATGTATACAGTGTGTGTAATGAGTGTAACGTATACAAAATTTTGTAATGTATACAGTGTGTGTGTGATGAATGTGTGATAAAATGTCATGAAAATCACGGCACGAGCAGGACGGAGGCGATTTTTCGTGCAGAAGTGAGTTAGAAGTGTCGGATGACAATCCCTCATTCTTGACTGCACTCTCAGGTAAACTGACTACAAAGTTTCGTCAACCGCGTGTGCCCCTGAACGAGAAGGGGTGTCGGGTGAACGGTTTTCCTCGCATTTGTAAACAATGTCATAACTTGCAGCATTAATTGTGATTATATTTCATTATATTTTAATATTTTTATTTTATAATATACCATTTTTGATTTATCTTAATCAAATTTAATTTTCTTTAACATAAACATTTGTTAGCCTTCTTCATAAATCCTATTATATTAGCGATCTGATGAAAGGGCCTCTATGGGACTAGCGTATCTCCGAACTCACAAACATTTATCGTTAGACTCAATAGCAATAGAAATTGTTAGGGTAAATTTTCCGGCTTTACAGCGTCACACGTGCGTTACGTTATCGTTAGTTGCATTGCTCGACTACCACACTACCACATTCCATACTTTTACGCTCATATATCAGCTGACACTTGCACACTGTAGCGTCCCGAACACACGCGCGCGCGCCGCAGGTAACACATGCGTCTTTCGGTTTGACACTAGAAAATATAAGAGTGACAGTCACCGATAATGGCTCTAACTTTGTTAAAGCTTTTACAGAATTTGGTGTCGATGTTTCCGACTCCAGCAACCTTTTACATGGTAGGTAATAAATGAAATATTATTGTTACGTTCCGAACAGAAATTTTTACACACTCACCTTGTGCCCCCCCCCCCCCAATCATCGAATTGTCCTCCGTGTTAACGGGTGCATTGGTTAACGTTACCATCATTGAGTTATCCTCAGTATATGCTGGATCCGGTGTCCTTTCCGCTTCCTCGAAAATGGTCCCCTTCATTTTGGGACTGCGCTCATCACCGATTGTCTAGGCGAAAGCCATGTTGCCCCCCCCCCCCCCCCCCCCCCGTCCTCTTTCTGATGGGCCTGCTCCCATCATCTTGATCCGTCATACCCTAGACCTTGGTTGGAGGTGCGAACGGAAACCATGAACATCGATAGCTTGTTTTACATTCCGGACCTCCCCTGATTGAACGCAGAAACGATCTTTGATATATCGAGATAGTCTATCTTTTCCAGACATAATTCCGATTGTTAGCGTAACAAATTCCTTCCTCGAAATCAGCGTGGTCCCACGGCTCAAAATCACGTGTCGTCCTTGGTACTGAATATCGCCGGATGTAGACCCGAAACATCATTCGTGTGGTCCGATAATCATGACCACTCTAGAACGTTCCTTATCGGTTCCGCGAAGATGATCAAAATTCCCTATACATACATTATAATAATCCGAATTTTCTGCTAAATTCACTAAACACTATAATATTGTAATTCCGCCACGCCGGTTAGTCCAAGTTGCGAATTTAAATTTTCATTTAACATTCGTTCAAATTCAGTAATCTGTAATGGTTTTGAAAAGCATGTTTCCTTCCTATAACGTTAAGATCAAAACAATTTTGTAAAATTTATTATATTTTAATGAATAATGAAGTCTTTCGTGTGACAGGAAGAGTAAAGGAATATACGCGAATTAGAAAGAGAAAGATTAAAACAGAGAGAGGAGCGCACATATTCCTACTGCACCACCGATTAGCGAATCCCGCCTCCTTACAAATCGACACCGCCGCACTGTGGTCTAAAAGTCAGTTCTAACGCGAATAAATTAAAAATATCAACTAACGTAAATCTGTTAAAATTTGTACTTGTATGATAGTTTGATATGTACACTACAATAACAAAAGAAAAATTAATAAATCACATCACCATGTTATTGTTGGCAAGATTGGCAACATTCCAGTAACCACATTTTGTTTCTCTGCGTTACTCAAGTGTTACAAATTATAACCTGAAAATATCGAATTCTTTCTTGAAGTGTGCATAGTATCTTGTTATATATGATATTATCAGTATGGCTGTAGGATTGGAAATGGTAGGTTTACGTTTCCTTCACACAGTTTATGATATATTTTATGAACTGATACTTTTTAAGAAAAATTTGGTTGGACTTTACCAAAAGGTGGCTCCGGGTGGCTCATATATCATTGGAAAGCCCTTGACGAGAGGAACATGATGGTGTGGGTGGGAGGTCATAAATATCAGACCCTGACCCGCTAGAGGTTAAAAACTAAAATTACGTTAATTTTGTTGTGCGAGAGGTTTTCGTCCAGATTGACCCGCTCCTGACGCTAGATTATGATAAAAAAGGATGCGCGACGCGGGTAATTAACGTTACCGCGCATTCCTACCTTTTGTTAACCGAAATCCAGGTAGATTACGATCGCGGTTGCTTCCTTCTTCTTCGCCGAGTAATCGTTGTGATAACACGTGCGTACGAGTAAATTTCTGATTGTCCGATCACCCACGTGCTTATAGTTAGTTTTTTAAGTTCAGTTACTATAGTTTAGATAAAATAGTTAGTGTAAATAAGTATTATTATTAATTAAAATGTCTCCGTATGAGGTCGTGAAAGCATCTGCGGAGAATCGTATCCGAGCGTACGAGCCGTATCGTATTCTCCTCCAGGGGCAGCTAAGTGTTTGGACCTATGGCGTGGCAATTTCAACGCCCGATCAAGCATGGATCGCTTTTCTTGCGTGGGGAATCATTCCAGATGAGCGAAAGTGCACCTGTGGCCGAAAGATGAAGGCAGAAAGGAGAGAGGATCGTACTGGTGAAAATGGTAGTGGGTTCAGGTGGGCGTGTACTAGGGTGTGCCGGATTAGGTCTCCGAAACAGCACACTCTTTTTCATAATACGCACATTTGTCTCTTGGCAGTAGCGCGTCTTCTTTTTCATTTTTTCGTAAAAGATCGTCTAACGTACGCATCCTCCTCTACTGGCCTCACGGAGAAAAGTTGCGTTGATTGGTTTAATTTCTTTCGAGAAATCATGGACGTCGTCCAATCGGTGGAAATCAAGACGTCGTTGAGGTGGACGAAAGTCATCTATTTACTAGAAAGTACGGCCGCGGTAGGGTACTCCGCATTAATCGCGAGGAGGTATGGGTTTTTGGTGCTTTCAGTCGCTTAACAGGTGATATGTGGGTCGAAAAGATCCAAGACAAGAGGCGAAGTACTCTGGATCCGATTATTGCAACACAAGTGCAAGCTCAATCATGGATCATTTCTGATGAGCACCGGTCCTATCGCGGCTGTGACAGGCGCCTTAACATGAAAGAACACTCTACCGTTAATCGTCGTTATAGATTTGTTGAGGGAACGGTGCAAGTTAGAGGGCTTCATGAAAATTTTGGATGGGAGGTCACAGACGCCACCTTAGTCTGGGAAATAACTGTTCACACAAATTCTATTGAACGGCAGTGGCGGGAATTAAATCTGAACCTGCCGCAGCATTCAGCGAGTGCCTCTATACATCGGCGAATTTTTATATCGGCGTAACATTGTACGGCATATTACATCGTTTGCCCAACAGTTTGCACGCTTCATAGACGACATTCGCAAGGTGTATCCTGGCCACCTTGGGTACAAAACTCGTATTCAACGTCCAAGCGAATGTTACCGCCATATTTAGGTTAGGTTAGGTTAGGTTAGGGTTAGGTTAGGTCCCCCTGTGGCTGGGGATTAGAATACAGCCAAGGTAACCCCTGCCTGTCGTAAGAGGCGACTAAAAGGGGGGCGCTCGCTGCCACTAGACCGCCTCAATGAGGACCGGGGGCGATGCCGGCGGGGTCCTTGGGCTTCGGTCCTTGGTCTCTGGCAGGTACTACCATGCCGGTAAGGCCTTGGGCTGAGAGGCGACGAAGGCGGCGGCGACGTCACGGTACACCGTAACCCAGTGGTCATGTTTCGCTGGGACGGGGGGCTTGCCTTAATCGGCCGGCCCGTGAGGATGATAACCTCTATAAAAATCCCTAGCCCCAAGCTGCGGTACGCGATGAGGAGGGTGCCCCTGGAGTTAGCGCCAGGGGTGGCTGGTGGGTGCATCAGTCGCTAGCGACCAACCCCGGGGTACCTGGCGACCCCCCGGGTGTATCAGCCTTGCCCGGGTAAGGCGGCTCTGCCCGGGTGGACGTGCCGGACCGACCCACTGGTGGGACTCGATATGGATGATCTAACACAAAAACAAAACATTGGACGGGATGGAACGACGACGAACCAGGCAACACCTAGGACAACGCAAGGGACAACGAGGGATGCGGAGGCGGAGCAGTCGGGGCCCAGCAGGCCCCCGGCTCCCGCCCGAAGTAGGAGGGCGCGACCTTGGTCGGCAGGATCCTCCAGAGGGAGCAGGGCATCCTCTGCTGCCTCTGATAGGGGGTACTGGCGCCGGGTGGGGGACAGCGACGAGGAGTCTGAGGGATCGGTCTTCTCGTTGTCGCCCATGACCCCCTCCACAGTGACGGCGGCGAGAAGAGGACGCCCCCCTACATCAGGGGACTATGTAAAGCTCGCAGAGAAGAAGGCTGAGTATCTGCAGCTACAAGAGCGGGAATTGGAGCTCCAGGTAACGCGGGAGCTGTTGGACGACGGCGTGGCACCCCGCCAGCCAAGCCGGTCTTCCAAGAAATTAAGGGAAGCCGAGGAGCTATCGAGGGAGATACGGCATCAACCCTCATCGGACCTCGTTGCCCGCGCATTGAAGTGCGCCGAGAAGGTAGAAAAGGTGGCGGGGTGCTCGAAGAATTTGAAGGGCACCTTCGTGCACGCCCTCAGGGAGGCATCTCGGGACCTCGAGGTCGTCGTGGGCGAGCTGGGCCTCAGGGCCCAATGCGAGCGCGACGACCGCGAGGTGGAGCTCCTGAGAGAGCAGCTGAAGGCCCGGGATGCCAGGATCGCGGCCCAGGGCGAGGAATTGGCTGCCATGCGCCGGGAGCTGGAAGCCTTGAGCGCGAGGATCGTCGCCGTGGAGACCCCAGCGGTCCCCGGCACAAGGAAGGCGGCGAGGCCGGCGTCACCGCTGACGGAGGAGGAGGCCGCTCCGAAGAGGACCCGCAGAGCACATACGCCCGAGGGGATTGGGACGACCTTCCGGACGCGACCATCGCTGGAGGAACCGACGGGGCCTACACCGGCGAGCCCGCCGTCGCCCCTCGGGGAGGCCGGCGGGCGGGTTGGGGGTGGCCCTGTCGAGCGCGCGGACCCCGCGGTGCCCGCGAGGGCCGGGGCACCGGAGACGGCTGCGCTCATGGAGGGCATCGCGGCGCTCGTCGCGCGGAGCGCAGCTGAGCTCAGGAGGGAGTTCGCTGGGGAGCTAGCCCGGCTCCGGACCCCCGCGGGCGCCGCTGGGGTTCCCCCTCCCTCCGCTCCCGCGACAGTTGGGAGGAAGGGAAAACAACCGACGAGGCCGACGAAGGGGGCAGCCCAGCCCCAGAAGACGAGGTTGGAATCGGCGGGGGCAGCAGCGTCTGCCCGGCCCGCAGCTCCCTCCGGTTCCTTCGTCGAACAACGGATGGCCCAAGTCCAACGGGACCACCGAGCGGCCACTGAGGAATGGGCCAAGGTCGTCGGCCGCAAGGCCAAAAAGGCCGAAGTGGTGAAGAGGAAGGAGGGGGTTACGGCCCCCCCTCAAACCACGGCAAAGAAACCGCCAACGAAGAAGATGGCGGCCGGGACGACCAATCCACCGGCCGCGAGGAAGGAGGGGTCATCGGGGGAGAAGGGAGCCAGGAAAGTGGCGAAAAAGCCCCGCCTGGCCCGCCCTCCCAAGACGTCTGCGGTCACCCTGACGGTCGCGTCGGGATCAAAGACCTCCTGCAGCGAGGCCATGCTTCGCGCCAGGCAGGAGGTCGACCTCGCGGAGATCGGGATCACCGATCTCCGACCTAGGCGCGCGGCCACGGGTGGCTTCGTCTTGGAGATCGCCGGGACAGAGAGGGCGGCCAAGGCGGCGGCTCTGGCTAGCCGCCTCCAAGCCGTGTTCAGCGGTGTGGAGGGGGTTAAGGTGGCGTGTCCCGTCAAGATGGGGGAGGTCCGCATCTGCGGGCTTGACGACTCCGTCACCCGCGATGAGGTGGCGGCCGCGGTAGCAACCGCCGGCGGTTGCGCCGCCGCAGAAGTGAGGTTAGGGAAGATCCGCACCCCGCCCCGCGGTTTGGGGAGGGTGTGGGTAAGATGCCCCCTTGTCGCGGCCAATAAGCTGGTCGGCGCGGGGAGGCTGAGGGTGGGGTGGTCCTCACCACGGGTCGAGGCGCTGGCGGCTCGCCCCCTGCAGTGTTACCGCTGCCTGGAGACGGGTCATGTCATGCAGCGGTGCCCCTGCGGGGTCGATCGGTCGGATCGCTGCTTTAATTGCGGCGATCCTAACCATCGGGCCAGCGCCTGCACGGCCCCTCCGCGGTGCCCCCTGTGTACTGATTCAGGGCGGACGCGGGGCACAGGATGGGGGCCAGGGGATGCCCCTCGGTCTCCTCCAACAAAGGGGGGAAGAAGCGCGCGGCGGTGAAGGCGCCGACGGCGAGGACGGGCACGAAGCAGTCGGCTGCTTCGTCGACTGGGGCAGCGGGCCCCAGCAACGAGGGAGCAGCGGTGGAGGCCGCAGGAATGGACACCTCCAATGGGGCCTAGGGGTCCATTCCTGCAGGCAAATGTCAACCACTCGGTCGGGGCACAGGACCTTCTGGTCCAAACCCTGGCCGAGTGGAAGATCGAGGTCGCGGTGGTGGCGGAGCCGCTCCGAGTCCCGGACCGGCATGACTGGTTCGCGGACGAGGGGGGCTCCGTCGCCATCGTCCTGGGAGGGACGCGGTTTCCCCCGCCCGCCGACGTACTGGTGAGGGGGCGGGGGTTCGTCGGGGTCGACTGGGGGGGCGTCGCGGTGGTGGGCGTTTACGCACCGCCTAGCTGGACCCGCCTCGAGTTCGAGGAGTGCCTAGACCGGGTGGGGAGCTTCATCTCCAGCTTCCCCGCCCGGCAGGCACTGGTCCTCGGGGACTTTAACTCCAAAGCCGAAGCCTGGGGGTCCCCGAGGACCGACGTGAGGGGCAGGGCGGTGCTCGATTGGGCGGCAAGCGTGGGGCTCCTGCTTCTAAACAGGGGCTCCGCCAGCACCTGCGTTCGGGCCCAGGGGGAGTCCATTGTGGATTTAAGCTGGGCGTCCCCTGGGATCGGGCGCAGGGTGCGGGGTTGGAGAGTGGCGATGAGGGAGACGTTGAGTGACCACCGGTATATCCGGTTCAGCGTCTCTCTCCCCACCTCCTGCCGCCCGACGCGTGGCGCACCACCGCGTCGCTGGGTGCTGAGGCGGATGGACAAGGACCTGCTGATGGCAGCGGCCCTCGTCGTGGCCTGGCCACCTCTTCCGGCCGGGCCTGTCGCGGACATTGAGGGGGAGGCTGAGTGGTTCCGGGGGGCGATGACCGCAATTTGCGACACCGCCATGCCCCGGGCCTCTCGTCTGCCCCCCCGGAGGGCGGTGTACTGGTGGTCGGGCGACATTGAGGACATTCGGTCCGAATGTCAGCACGCCCGGCGCCAGTGGCAGCGCGCCCGAAGGGTACGGGTCCGTGACCCGGCGAGGGAGGAATTGCTGAGGGGCACGTACCGGGTCTTCGTAGCGGCCCTGAGGCAGGCCATCAGGGACGCGAAGTCCCGGGCACGGAAGGAGCTCCAGGGCTCTCTCGACAAGGATCCCTGGGGGCGTCCGTACCGCATGGTGATGGGCAAGCTTCGCCCATGGGCGCCCCCGGTGTCGGAGAGCCTGGACCCCCAATTGCTCGGGCGGGTGGTGGACACCCTTTTTCCCCGATCGGAGGAGGAGCCACGCCCGCGCGAGCAGCCGGCGGAGCCAGTCGCCTGGTCCGCCGACTTGGAGGTCACCGAGGGGCGGAGAGAAGCTCGGGGCGAAAAACACCGCTCCGGGCCCTGATGGTATACCCGGCCGTGCCTGGGTCATCGCGTCGGGGGTCCTGGGTCCGAGGTTGATCCGCCTCTTTAGCGCCGCGTTGGAACGGGGAGTTTTTCCCGCGTTGTGGAAGGAGGGGCGGCTGGTTCTGCTTCGCAAAGAAGGTCGGCCCGCGGACTCCCCCTCCGCGTACCGGCCCATCGTGCTGTTGGACGAGGTGGGCAAGCTCTTCGAGCATATTATTGCCGAACGCCTCGCCCACCACCTGTCGAGCGTGGGTCCCGATCTGGCCGACACCCAGTTCGGGTTTCGCGAGGGTCGCAGCACCATCGACGCCATTCAGCGGGTGCGCACCCTCGCGGAGTGGGCCACGTCCCGGGGCGGGGTGGCGCTTGGCGTCTCGTTGGATGTGACCAATGCGTTCAACACCCTGCCCCATGGGGCGATACGGGGGGCGTTGGTTCGTCACAACGTCCCCCCGTATCTGCGGGGGATAATCGGGGCCTTCCTGGATGGCAGGTGGATTTGCTACGTGGGCCGGGACGGTACAGTGCATTGGAGGGAAGTGGACCGCGGGGTGCCCCAGGGTTCCAAAATGGGTCCTCCCCTATGGAACCTGGGATACAACCCGACCCAGGAGGTGGATCTCCCGCCCGGGGTGTGGACAACTATCTTCGCAGATGATTATTTCATTCTGGCCACCGGGCGGGACTGGGAGCGGACCAGCCGCCGTGCCGAGGATGCGGTGGCACGCGTCCATGACGCGATCCGGGAGTTGGGTCTGGAGCTGGCTCCCCACAAGACCGAGGCTATGTGGTTCTTCGAGCCTCGACGTGGGGTAGCCCCTCCGACCGGGCTCTGGCTCGGAGTAGGAGGGTGCCGGATCGAGATCGGCCGAGGTCTCCGATACCTCGGTCTGTATCTCGATAGCCACTGGCGGTTCGATACGCACTTCGACCGTCTGGCTCCCCGATTGGATAGGGTGGCGGCCGCTCTTGGCCGCCTTTTACCCAACCTCGGGGGGCCGGGTGTGAGGGTTCGCCGCCTCTACGCGGGAATCGTCCGGTCCGTAGCCCTGTACGGGGCACCGATATGGGCCGGCGATCTGGCGGCGAGCAGGCGCAGCTGCAATGTTTTGGGTGCGGGGATACCGCACGATTTCCTACGCGGCGGCGATGGTCCTGGCGGGTTTCGTACCTTTCCGGTACCTGGCGGAGGTCGAGGCCAGTACCTACTGGTACTCGAGAGCCCTCCGTCAGGCCGGGGAGGACCCGCCGGGGCCTACGGTCGAGGAGTATCGGGGCCGGGCCCGACTGGTCGCGGTGGAAAGGTGGCGCATCTCCCTTCAGGGGGTGGCCGCCGGAAACCGCACCGCCGGGGCGGTCCTGCCGGTGCTGTCAGAGTGGCGGGATCGCGGCTTTGGCGCCCTGACATTCCGGGCCACACAGGTGCTCTCCGGACATGGGTGTTTCGGGGAGTACCTGTGCCGGATCGGGAGGGAGCCAATACTGAAGTGTTGGCACTGCGGGGCAGGGCGGGACACCGCACAGCACACCCTCGAGGTGTGCCCTGTGTTTGAGTTGGCCCGCCACGCCCTGCGTGTGGAGGTGGGGCAAGACCTCTCGCTGGCGAGCGTCGTAAGACAGATGCTCGCCGGCGAGACGAGGTGGAGGGCGGTGATCTCCTATTGCGAGGAGGTCATCGCCCTGAAGGAGAGGGCCGAGCGGGATCGCGAAAGGAGCGATCCCGCTCGGAGAAGAGGCCGGCGCCAACCGCGGCGCCGGCGGCACCCGCCGCCCTAAGGGATCCGGGGGGGTTGACGGCGCCGATCGCCGTTGCCCCCCCGGCGCGACGGATGCGGGTAGGGGACTGGTGAGGGGGGGGGGGGTGGGAGGGGTCGTGGTGACCCTCCCGCCCTGGACGAAAAGAGCCCGGACCCCGGTCGGACCTGGGGGCGGGCGGGGAGGGAACCCGTTACCAATCGGGGGCCCTCTCCGCCTGTCTCTGGGGGGCCGGGTGACTCCGGGCGGAGAGTGGGGTGTCCCTCCCACAAAGGGAGTTGCCGCCCTCCCACACTGTGGGGGAGGGACGAAGTGAAGCCGAGGAGTCCCTCTGTAGGGTGGCTGACCACAGCCCACCGCAGCCCTCAGGGGGACGACCCGGCGGGCCGCAGGCGCCCCGCTGGGGCGTCATTGCTCGCGGACCCGTGGTGAAGCCGGCACCGGAAGCTGGCGAGGCGCGGTCGGCGCCCGGTCTACCGCGCGGGGTGGGCGGGGGGTCGTTCCTCTTCGCAGTCCGCGTAGGGAGATCGAGGCGCGGGGACTGCAGGTGTCCTGGGCTGGGGGCCCAGGCGTCATTGCACGCTGTCCCCCGAGATGGAGCCGACATCGGGTGCGACCCCCGGTGTCGGCAGAGGGGAGTCCTTTCGACTCCCCTCCGAGACGGGCGGTTCGGCGCGAGGCGGGGGAGGCTCCGGAGAAATATCACTCAGGTCCCGGAGCCTCTCCACAACGCCCGAGGAGGTCGCCGTGGGGTTTTAGCCGGTAGAAATCCGGCACTACCCCGTCACCTCCCCCCAGGGGGTGGCGGGGCGTCTTGTCGAAGATTTCCCCACGATAAAAAAAAAAAAAAAAGGGTTAGGTTAGGTTAGGATTAGCTTAGGTTTTATAATGGTCGCGGTACCTTCTCTAGTTTGCTAGATGGAGGGCTGCCGAGGAGTTTTAGGCTGTAGAAATCCGGCACTACCCCCCTTCTGGGGGGGTGTTTTCCGAAGATTTCCCCTCGTTAAATAAGAAAAAAAAAAAGTTAATGAATTTATATGTTTTGGGGCATTTTAGTTTTTGACCTCTAGCGGGTCAAGGTCTCATATTTAAGACTTCCCACCCACACCGTTGTGTTCCTCTCGTCAAGGGTTTTCCAATGATATATGACCCATCTGGATTTAACGTCGAGCTTTTGAGTAAACTCAATATATATGTTCGAGCGAACTGTTTCCCCAATGTCTAACGCGACTGACTTCTGTCGTATTGCCATCCCTCTCTCATCGGCGCCCATCTCTCTCACGCCGTTGGCCAGCGGTGTGGGGCGAGGACGCCGGGAGAGAGAGGGAGAGGTGCGAGCCTGTCGTCGCTCTGAGACGGGGCTCACTCTTATCTCGCGAACGCTTTTCGGAGAATTCAGATCCGCAAATCTCTCCTTTGTTCTTTTTCTGGCGCTTCGCACGAATCAAGTGCTTCGGCGAACTGCAATAACGCGGATTAATTCAGTGAATAGAGGATTGAAATATAAACTTGTTATTCCTAAGACTACCTGTTAATTTATTAAATACAACGAGTTTTTGCTAAAACTACGTAACACGTTGCTGTGAAGTTCATTGCTTCCGCTTTTCCAAGACTCCTGCGCTTCGGTAAACGCGATCCGGCACCTCGCTCATTTTCCTGCAGATTCCCAACCGCGGAAAATACGCCGCGGCGAAATTTAACGGAACATAATGGTCCTTCGAGCCGGATCTGGTTAAACGAACAACGGTGCTTCGGGAAAATCGCGCAAGTGAACTCTGTGCTTCAAGTGCATCTGGCTTTTCTTCTTCACCTGTGGAGAACGTCTTCGGCGATCCAGATCAGCGAAAATCTCCAACCAGGAATCTGAAAAGAAGAGCCGATTGAAAACCGGTTACGTAACCATCCTTTGTTTCAACGGCAACGACCACGCGTTGTGACGTCACGCCGAGAGCCTAACGACTTTGGGTAAGTCAGCGCGACTAATATTTACCAACATTACGGTACGCGTTGAAAGGCTTAGAAGTACGGTCTCAGTGGTTCTCTATCGAAATATTAAATTAAATTTCGCCTTGAATTGCGATCATGACTACGTCCTTTTCGGATCTTCTGCGTGAACAAGAGGAAGTAGCGGGGTGGATACAAAGATTCTGGGCTAACGTATGCAAGTTAGGAAAGGACAAGCTGACGGGAGCGGTTTTAGAGCAGAGACAGGGTTTGCTCAACCGATACTGGGACACGTTCCTTAGCGGACACCGTAAATTGATGAGATGCAAGGAGGCGAGTTCTAGTTCATATGTCAAAGAGGACGCCTTTTCGGTCACAGAAGAAGCTTACCTCGACGCAGCCTCCATGATTTCCCATCACCTGAAAGAGCTGCCGTCCCCTTGCTCCTCGCATGTTCAACAGTCCACTATTGCGCCTCCGCCCCACCCGCAACTGCCTAAAATTGATTTGCCGAAATTTTCGGGCGATCCGTTACAATGGGAGAGCTTTCGCGACCTTTTTAAAAGTCTAGTCCATGACGTCAGCCACTTACCTGACGTACAGAAGCTACTCTATTTGAAGTCTAGTTTGACAGGTGAGGCCGCCGAGGTCATTCGGAATACGCCGATAACGGACTCCGGCTTCAGGGGAGCATGGGACGATCTGGAAGCCCGGTACGGTAACATTCGTCTGTTATCGTTTTCCCATCATCGAGCGCTCCTCTTGTGCCCACCAGCCCTGCAGCAGTCAGCTGGCGAATTGAAGCGGCTTTTAGACACTTTCCGCCAGGCGATTAGGGCGTACGTTACACTGAGGAAACCCGTTACTTCATGGGATGAGTGGTTTGTATACTTACTAAGCCAAAAGCTTGACAAAACTACTCACCTTGCTTGGGAGACTTCTTTGGCGGATAGCCGGGAAATCCCGCGGTTCCAGCAATTATCGCAGTTCTTGGAGAACCGGATCCAAGCTTTAGGCGCTGCAGGCATGACGGACCCATCGCTCCACGCTGTGTCGCCGAGCAGCTCTAAGGAAATCAAACCTAAAACAAAAGGAGGAGCATCAGCAAAAGGCGTTAACTCTAACGTCTTAGCCGCAGCATCAAAGTCGCCCCCGGCCCGGAAATGTCCGGGGTGTTCGGGCACCCACGGTCTAGGATTTTGTTATAAATTCAAGGCGCTGTCGCCGGCAAAACGCAAGGAGCGCGTCCAACAGCTGAAGGCCTGCCTGAGCTGTTTGAATGTAGGACACGAAGTGGGTAAGTGTCCGTCTAAACAAGTCTGTTTAGCCTGTAGCAAGCGACACCATACGTTACTGCACGAGGCGCTGACGGCTCCACCGGCAAGCGCACCAGGCCGTGAAGGCGGACAGCCGGCACGAGAAGACGCTGCCTCGACGTCTGACGACGCAACTCAGCAGGTGACTACCCTCTCTCTATCGGTTGGCTCAAAAGCCGTGGCCTTACTCGCAACCGCCAAGGTGAGATTGGAGGCGCCATCAGGAGAAACCGTAGAGGTCCGAGCCCTTCTGGACACCGGCTCCGATACCTCTCTCGTCTCATCGTGGGTCGCTCAGGCGCTACGTCTTCCACGGCGGGCGGTGCGAGTGGCCATCTCAGGCGTTAAGGACAATGAGGTTGGACACGCGACCGGAGAGGTATCACTTGTAGTTCGACCCCGACACACTTCGGACTTCCGATTACCAGTTCGTGCGTTGGTACTCCGCAAACTAACGTCGTTGCTCCCGAGCAAACGCATCGTGGCAAAGTCTTGGCCGCATATTACTGGTCTCACGCTTGCTGACCCCGAGTACGGAGTTCCGGCTCGGGTAGATTTACTTTTAGGTGCGGATGTTTGCGGAACGCTCTTTGGTGACGACTCGCGCAGAGGGCCAGAGGGTACTCCAACAGCGAAACTCACCCCCTTTGGCTGGGTGCTTATGGGACCAGCCTCCGACGACAAACCCAAGGCGGAGACGGCCGCTCGGGTTCTTCACTGCCACGGCGAGGACTCCACAAGCCAACTCCTCCAGCGGTTCTGGGAGCTGGACGAGATTCGAGAACGGGCTCCAATGTCACAAGAAGAGGAAAAGTGTGAGCGTCACTTCCTTGACACCCATGCTCGAGATCCATCGGGACGCTACGTGGTGCGCCTTCCCTTCGAAAAGGACCCGCGGACTGCGCTGAAGTCCAACAGGACGACGGCGTTGAAACTCCTCTTCAATTGTGAACGACGCCTATCCTCGGATGCTACGCTGAAAGAGCAGTATCGAAATTTTATGATGGAGTACCTGACTTTACAGCACATGCAGGGTGCACCCGAAGAAGCGGATAAAGGGCCTGCGTATTACCTGCCACACCACGCCGTACGCAAGCGTCACGATCCTTCTGCCAAGTTACGGGTCGTTTTTAATGCTTCTTTTTGTACAGCCACGGGCCAATCGCTAAACGACTGCCTCGCCACTGGTCAGAAGCTCCAGGCTGACCTATGGATGGTATTGACCCGCTGGCGACTTTTTCGGGTCGTATTCACCACGGACATTGTCAAGATGTTCAGACAGATCCGAGTCCATTCAGAGGATACTAAGTGGCAAAGCATCCTTTGGCGCGCCACTCCCGACGAACGAGTGCAGGACTTTCGGCTTACAACGGTGACGTATGGCACGGCGTGTGCGCCTTTCCTAGCCTTACGGGTACTTGCCCAGCTGGCGAACGACGAAAGCAGCCGGTTTCCCCGAGGAGCTTCGGTGGTGCGTCGACACACTTATGTCGATGATATCCTCACCGGGGCGGATGATGTCAGCGAGACCCTGGCTTTGAAAAGAGAAGTGGTAGCAATTTTCAAAGCTGGCGGTTTCGAACTAAGCAAATGGGCATCTAACATACCGGAAATTCAAGAAGCCGACTCTTCTGATACGCGCCTGTTTCAGGAATGGTCCGGCATCAGCACACTAGGCGTGAACTGGAATCCTAGGGATGATGCCTTCTCCCTTCGAGTCGCAGCCGCTGAGCTGGGGAGAGAATGTACCACCAAGAGGTCCATCCTTTCGGAAATCGCAGGCCTCTTCGACCCACTGGGCTGGGCGGCGCCGGTCCTAGTCGTGGCCAAGATTTTAATGCAGGACCTCTGGATCCTTGGAGCGGACTGGGATCAGCAATTGCCAGAGAACGTCTGCACTATGTGGCAGCGCTTCAGAGGCTCCTTGCCGCAATTGGATACCCTGAAGATCCCACGCTGGACATTTGCCTCATCAGAGCCGTCCACCCAGATGGAACTTCACGGTTTTTGTGACGCCTCGCAGCGAGCTTATGCGGCAGCTGTGTACCTGCGGGTCAATAACAATGGGTCGGTAACGACCTCGCTTTTGGTCGCAAAAACTAAGGTGGCCCCGGTAAAGACTATAACAATTCCGAAGTTGGAACTGTGTGGAGCCACCTTGTTATCTAAATTATTGATTCGGGTCAAAGAAGGCATTAATATGTCTGGCCCGACCATCGCGTGGACGGATTCAAGTGTAACCTTACACTGGATCCGCGGCCATGCATCTCAATGGAAACCCTTCGTTGCCCATCGAGTCTCCGATATCCAGCACGAGATACCGGCGGACAGTTGGCGGCACATCCGCTCTCCGGACAATCCAGCGGACTTGGCAACCCGAGGAATGAGCCCAGCCGAGCTCATCGACTCCGATCTGTGGTGGCACGGGCCGAAATGGTTGACGGAACAGCCTGAATTCTGGCCGGCGACCTTTCCGGAGTCCAACGAGGGAATAGAGGCAGAGAGAGGAGGAGCCACGGTACACGTCGTCAAGGAGAAATTCGGAGAAAATTTCCTGTGCCGCTTCTCCTCCCTCTCGCACCTTTTATCTGTTATTGCCCAGTGTTTCAGGTTTGCCAGTCTAAGCCGAGGGCAGCCTTGCGAGAAGGGTTTTGTTAAAGCAGCGGAGCGCACCCACGCCTTCCTAGCAGTTCTGAGATTCTCTCAACACACCAGTTTCCTGGAGGAGATTGAACAACTGCAACGGCACGGCGAGCTACGCAAAGCTTCACCCCTTTCTCCGTGTCGACCTTTCTTAGACGACCAGGGCTTGCTAAGGCTCGGAGGGCGCTTAGAAAACGCGGCTCTGCCGTACAATGAGAAACATCCTTACCTTGTGTCGAAGAGATGTCCGTTGGCCAGGCTTCTGATACGGGACGCACATTACCGCACGCTCCATGGAGGTCCACAGCTTACTCGCAGCCATCTCATGAGAAGAGTCTGGATCGTCCGAGGCCGCTCCCTGGTTCGATCCGAAATCGCCGCCTGCGTCACGTGCGCCCGGTTCAGCGGACGTAGAGCTGGACAACTGATGGGACAACTTCCACAGGAGCGCACTGCAGCACAGAGGGCCTTTTTAACCACCGGCGTGGATTATGCGGGCCCGATTAAGCTACGTACCTCGCCCGGGCGTGGCCACAAAGCCTACAAAGGCTACATCGCCCTCTTCGTGTGCCTGTCTACCAGGGCAATACATTTGGAAGCGGTGTCAGATCTAACCTCAGCTTCCTTTCTTGCAGCCTTCCGTCGCTTTGTGGGCAGGCGAGGACATTGCGCCACTCTGTTTAGCGACAATGGAACGGTATTCCAGGGAGCAGACAGAGAGCTCCGCACTATGTTCCGCCAGTCTACTTTATTCTACCAGGAGGCAGCCGCATCCCTGGCATTAGACGGCACCAGCTGGCAGTTCATTCCCCCTTATGCGCCGCATTTTGGTGGCCTGTGGGAGGCAGGGGTAAAATCCGTAAAGCACCATCTACGGAGAGTGATCGGTGATTCCACACTTACCTTCGAGGAACTGACGACTCTCCTCTGTCAAATAGAGGCGTGCCTAAACTCGAGGCCACTGTACGCACTATCAGAGGACCCTTCGGAGCTGGCCGCCTTGACACCGGGTCACTTCTTGATAGGGGAACCAACCACCGTCCCCCCAGAGCCAGAAGAACCATGCACTGCACTTCACACACGCTGGCGGTTAATCTCACAAATGCGAGCACAATTCTGGAAAAGATGGAGACGCGAATACTTACAGCATCTCCAACAGTTTCCGAAGTGGCGTCGTTACCGGGAGAATTTGGAAATCGGCAGCCTGGCGCTTATCCGGGACGACTTACAGCCACCAGCAAAGTGGTTGATGGGACGCGTCACCGAACGACACCCAGGACCTGATGGATGCGTTAGAGTGGTAACTCTACGCACTGAAAAGGGCACTGTTAAGAGGCCAATCGTCAAGCTGTGCCCCTTACCAGTATCGCCAACCGATGCCTCTTAGCATCGATACCAGCTAAGATACTTTAACTTTAACTCCCTTTTTTTTTCTCTTTGTAAACTACGACCGAAATTTTCCGCGTAATTCTTTTTTGCTTTACTTTGGTTGGTCTAGTTTACTATTCTAATTGCTATTTGTTATTTTATATTTACTCTTTATTCCCTTTGCTTTACTTGATTGCTTTATATTAAAATTATTATTAATTAGTTTAGCTTTGTAACTAGCGTGTAAGCACTCATGGTTTGTACTAGTAAAACTCTAGAGGTTATTTGCCTTGATTCACGTCAACCATTCTTCGTATCACCGAAGAAGGCGGGCGGTATGTTCGAGCGAACTGTTTCCCCAATGTCTAACGCGACTGACTTCTGTCGTATTGCCATCCCTCTCTCATCGGCGCCCATCTCTCTCACGCCGTTGGCCAGCGGTGTGGGGCGAGGACGCCGGGAGAGAGAGGGAGAGGTGCGAGCCTGTCGTCGCTCTGAGACGGGGCTCACTCTTATCTCGCGAACGCTTTTCGGAGAATTCAGATCCGCAAATCTCTCCTTTGTTCTTTTTCTGGCGCTTCGCACGAATCAAGTGCTTCGGCGAACTGCAATAACGCGGATTAATTCAGTGAATAGAGGATTGAAATATAAACTTGTTATTCCTAAGACTACCTGTTAATTTATTAAATACAACGAGTTTTTGCTAAAACTACGTAACACGTTGCTGTGAAGTTCATTGCTTCCGCTTTTCCAAGACTCCTGCGCTTCGGTAAACGCGATCCGGCACCTCGCTCATTTTCCTGCAGATTCCCAACCGCGGAAAATACGCCGCGGCGAAATTTAACGGAACAATATATATATTTGAAATCATCTTAGTTTTTGACCTCTAGCGGGTCAAGATCACATATTTAAGACCTCCCACCCACACCATTGTGTTCCTTTCGTCAAGGGCTTTCCAATAACATATAACCCATCCGGATTTGCGTCCCACCTTTTGGTAAAGGTCAACCAAAATTGTGGACACCACAAATTTTATTATCTTTGTCCCTGCGTTTTCTTTCGAAATCAAAGAACCAATAATATCTTCTGAAATATTTCTCCAACAAGTACGAAACGGTATTCGAATCAGAACTCTCCAGGTATTAGAAGTGTGCAGTAGTCCTCGCAAAATAGTCTCTGTACTTTATCACTTCAGTGTCATAGCGTTCGTGAAAGTGTATAATTAGTGTATATGTGAATATTTAATTCGAATCTTCTATAAAGACAATGGGTAGGAAGAAATGCGAAATTGTCCGACAATATTTTAAATTGTGTGCTGGCGAAACCAAATTGAATGTTCAATTCGAAACTGTGGTTCCATCATTTCGGTATGTATAATTTACTGTAGGAGTACAGGACGATTGCTCCCCCTGCAGTCGCCCCTCTCTATTATACATAGTTTAAGGCCCAGAGCGCGCGGCACTAGAGAAAAAGCTAGCCGTCCATTACCGTTCTAGCTCAGCAAGCGAAAGCAAGTGTAGGAGTAGAGAAGCAATAAAAACGTACATATACAACAAAGAAAGTGAACACACTCGTGTATTATTTTATATATTAAGCCTGCCAGACATTCCTCAAATTCAACATTTACTTATTAATTAAATTACTATATATGCTAATATACTTTAAATTAAATTTTAATTGTAAAAATATATATTTGTAGGATCATTCAACGAATCTACAAAAACATTTGGAAGTTTTCCATCCAAATGAATTCACAACGGTAATGTTAGAAAAAGAGAGAAACAAGGCAAGAGAAGGCTTAAATAATGATAACGATATTGGTAGCAAAACTTGTAAAAAAGCAAAACGTAATGGATGCATGTGTCAGATTAGTGACTGTACATGGAAGACCACTTTCCTTGATTAACAATAACGCGTTTAAAGATATTATTCAAATGATAAATTTCCAAAAAGAAAAAGTAAATTCACATAAAGTTCGTGATGCAGTTATTGAACAAGCAATTGAAATCAGAAAAAAAATTACAGAGGAAGTAAAAGGCAAATTAATATGCCTGGAAGTGGATGCAGCAACTTGCATGAGCAGATCGTTTCTTGGCATTAATATGCAATTTATGAAAGATGGTAAATTACATGTACGCACGCTAGGAGTTCGTCGAACTTTATAAGAGCCATACTGCCGAATATGTAAAAAGCATCATCATGCAAACTTGTAATGTATATGGGACTGAAACAAGTCAGATTTACACTGTGACAGTTGACAACGTGGCAAATATAGTAAAAACAATAAAAATTTTAAATGAAGAAGACGATGATAATGATAACAACGAGGATGTCGCATTATCGGAATTAGAATGGAGTAAAATTATGGAACTGTTGAATATATTAAAACCGACACGAATTGCAACGAAACGATTGCAAATAGAAGACCTATTAGTTGGTGATTCGTATGCAATTTTTGAGCGATGCATTATTGAAATAAGAAAGAAAAACACTAATTTTGCAAACGAATTCATACAAAATATAGAAAAACGACGATCTATGTTGTTTGACAGCGACGTCCTTTCTGCTGCAATATTGTTACGCCCCGGCGGAAAATTTGAAATTTATCCGCCTTGCGTCCCTTATCAAGCCCTTTTGGGTTACGAGAGTGTCTCATGTAAGGGGCGTGAGGTGGGTGTTTCACTTTTCCGCCAATCTTTTCATTCCTCCTCAACCTTGTGCGTCCTTGTCAAGCCTTTCGAGGTTACGAGGATTTCTCATGCGGGGGTTTACAAGGAAGAGTTTGAGTTTAATTCTTTTCTATTTTTGACTTCTTCTATCGCTTTCTCTTCTTTATCTGCTCTACCCTGGACTCGTGTATCTAGTCAAGCCCTTTCGGGGTTACGAGAGTATCTCATGCGATGTACACGAGGAAAGTTTCCTTCTATTTCCTTCTTTACAATAGTTTACGCGACCCTCCTTGAAACTATCGTCGCCAACCATAGTAACATAATACAGTTGTAATCGCACACAAAAACTCGGGTTTAGCTCGAGAGAGATAGAGCCGTAGCACAACACCAGCGCTACGCAGTTAGCCAGTGCTTCGCACTTCGGGAATTCCCCTGCTCACTGCGTAGAAACGGGAAAACCGTAATAACTTCTTTGTTAGAACACTCTTTCTCTCTCTATTGCACAAAGCGTCAGCCGGTCCAACAAGGATCATTATTACCTGATCGGAATGATAGTGTGAAAGAGTGGACGAATGAATATGTATTTAAATATCAAGAATAAGGAATGAGAACCCTTATGAAAACGAACGTCGCGAACGTTCGACCGCCGTTCGAAAATTAAGGGTCGCTTAGAGCTGTAACGTCCCGCTAAGAAGATCCAGTGCCTTTTCGCTTTACTTTTTATTATTATAATCAATTTTTAGTTTAAATTTTGTACAAGATGTTTAATTAAAATTTTTATTATTAATATTTAGTTAAGTTTATAAGAAATATTTAGTTTAATTTGTATTATATATATTTTTGTAGTAATAAATAGTTTTTACTTCAAACTTCAAAAGATAATTCAGTTTAATGAATGGGTCGGTAAACGATTAGTCGGTAAGTCGGTCGGTAAGTCGGACGTGCAAATACACTGCGGTGCATAACTATAGCACCACCTACTTTTCTAGTTGTTCTGCAGTTCAGAGTCAAAATGCAAAATGCAGGAGCTGAAACAGTATGGGACGCAATAAACTTTACGTTAAGTCTAATTGAAGTTGCTCTTTTATACGAAACGATATGATCGAAAAAGTGATTTTCACTTGTTGCGTAACTATACCACCAATGTTATAAGTTAACTTCTTCCCATCCAGATCAACAACAAACTCACTGAATCCAAGTAATTACATTCTTCATAGCAATATAAATTAAAATTTAACAAAAATCTCTGTTAAACAATGCCACGTGGTACATATTTGACCGAAGAAGAAAGGGGTAAAATTTTGGCTCTTATGGAGGAAAAAGTTGGTGTTCGGGAAATTGCTCGTAGACTAGGGCGGTCATATAAAGTCGTTCTGAATTTCTTACATGATCCAGTCAATTATGGTAAGAATAAAAAGGGTGGCCCAAAGAAAAAATTGACTCCCCGTATCGAACGGGTAATTGTAAAAGCAGCCAGTAACAGTCTAAAAAGCTGTAACCAAATTAAAAGTGAACTCAATCTCAATGTTTCACGGTGGGCAGTACGTCGAGTTCTGAAAAACAATCCTAACATCGTGAGACAGAAATTAAAATCTGCACCTAAACTTCTACCTTGTCATAAAGTTGCGAGACTCGAGTACGCTCGAGCAAACATGCATCGAGACTGGAAAAACGTAAGTTAACTTTAGACGTCAAAATCTTTTTCCTACGGTTTACTTCAACTTCTTTCATTGATAATCAGGTTATCTTTTCGGATGAAAAAAAGTTTAATCTCGATGGACCGGACGGTTACAACTCATATTGGCGAGATCTCCGAAAAGAACCGCAATACTTCTCAAAACGAAATTTCGGCGGAGGAAGTGTGATGGTTTGGGGTGCCTTTTGTATTGATGGCATGTTGCAATTGGCTTTTCCATCAAAAAGGATGGATAGTGATGAGTACATCGCAATTTTAGACAGCAATTTGTTATCTTTTATGCACGAGCACAATACAATTAATTGGACCTTCCAGCAAGACAACGCGGCTATATATACCAGTCGGAAAACAATGTTTTGGTTGCAAAGAAATAAAATTAATGTTATTAAGTGGCCAGCATGTTCACCAGACCAAAATCCGATGGAAAACATTTGGGCCATTATTGTTAGGAAAGTTTATGCTGAAAATCGGCAGTATCAAAACATTTTAGAATTAAAGAACGCAATAATAAGAGCGAGTAAGGAAATTAGCGAAAGAATTTTTTAGAAACTCATCGAGAGTATGTCAGATAGGATTTTTCAAGTTATAACAAAACAAGGAGGACCAACAAATTATTAAAATTATATTTATGTATACAGGGTGTCCCACGTAACA